ATAATAGCAAAGCATTGGGCCTCGTTACCTCCCGCCATAATTAGCTTTATCTTAAACTATATTACCCGAAAAGCAGCTTCGGATCATACCCTCGCCCGATATACTACTATCAACAAAGACTAGCAGTACCTATTCAAGCAGCTTACTTCAGGAACCTCAGTCTTAGCCCAGATAACTTGTCCGAATTTAAAACAACGATATCAATTCATTCCAAGCGTCGCAAATGGCTTCAAGCAGTATCATTCCATAACCGCGCCGATGGCGGTACATCGGAAAGGCTATTCCTTGAGCACAACCTATCTCAAACCATGTTCTCGCTATTAGCCCTTCTCAAGAAATAGGACCATAATACAAACTTACGTCTTACACTCTATCTTTCCACTCACACCACCAGCAGTCTTAATACACAAAGGGTAACAATACTTTATAAGAATACTGTATTCTTATACTTAACTAACAAGCCTCGTCTACTTGAGAAGAACTGCCCTGGCTATATAATCGGGAAAATACCAGCTATAAAGAGCTTCTTAATTTAATATCAAGAGAAAGAGGCAACAAGTACTCAAACAGCCATAAGCCTCTGTTTAAAATTACCCGGGCTAGAGGAGCTCTACCCCTAAGATTTAGATCATCATGACAAGTACACCAAATACTTTAGGATTACAGAACTAACCCTAGAGCTGCTTACAACTCTAAAGCGCCTATATATTCTAGGCTAAGGTAGCACAGGACCCTAAAGTATATGTTGGTTTCTCATACAACGCTTGATATGGTTCGGTATAACGATACTATTAGAGGAGCTCTCTATAACTATAAGTAGAAAGGCCGTAGACGAGTTCTTCGAGAATATCAGGAACTTGGCATCCGGCTCTACACCAACCAGCAGGACCTTACAATGGCCGGCCTTAGAGTCTCTGATACTCACCTGTTCGCTCCTAGGGCTAGCCACTTCTCGCCCCGTTGTCAATCGTTTTCTCCATCAAGCTGGAATCACAGCATTAGGCCTGCCAAGGTTGCGGAAGTTGCGGCTCTTGAGCGGCAGTGCTAAAAGACGGGGAGAGGTTGATGGGCTCTTTCGATATGTCATCGGAGGGCAGGGGAAGGCTAAAGACAGCGAATGAGGGCGTACGAGATCTGTTAGGCGCTGTTGTATTCTTCGTGGCGTTGGTTTCATTCTTGTCATTGCTAGTCAGACAGATGTCGTGGAAATAGCAGGTTACAGGGTAGGATGTCGTACACTGGCGGCGCTGATGATGATGCCGTCCTCCCACTTCTGGGTTATATAATTCGCTACACTCAGAGGGCTTACTTTTGGAATGGGATTCCACCAAACTGCAGCCTGTCGTTACCAAGGCCTATTCCTGACGGCGCGCAATGAAAAGGAAAAATGTTAGACAAAGCTGTGGTATATCTCATGGATACATCTGTCTTTAGACTTGCTTATTCTAAAGCAGATGATCCTCTAGATAAGTTTCCTATAATATGTCATTCTATAGGAAACTGTCTCATACTAGGTCATCTTATAGAAAGTTGTGTGCCTAGTACTGCCTAGGTGGAATACTAGATACTGCGGCTGCATAGCAGGCACTGGAGCAAAGCACGTCCTCGTGATGCTTATAAATTTTGGGCACCATCTAGTTGATACTCTGCCAGTCCTAGACTAAGATTGTTGGTTGACTTAGACCGTGTGTTAAGACATGTAAGGCTACAGGTAGTCCATTTAGTCACCAAACGGGTTGCATCTAGGCCCGTTTCCGTTGACTTTTACCCACAAGGCCAGGCCTGAATTGAATTCTATTGTGTCTCACAGATCTGGCTCGACTAAATTTCATCCACTATATTAGGAAGCAAAGCTCAAGCAGCTTGTCTCCCAATACCTCTTCATCCAGATTCCGGCCCAATTCCCGATCAAAGTGTGTTATACATCAATCCTTAATTCTCAGGGCATATCATGTAAGTGTTCAGGCATCTCAGTATTACCCTACCTCAAGCAAAATGTGCCTATGGTATCATCAAACAGCGCATGCATACCTGCATTGCTTCGTTACGTCTAACGTACCCGCGATCAACTTTCATTAAACGAGCTGACTGGGAACAGTTCCGCCACCAGCAGGCCGCAGACATGACCTGGTATGAGCCCAGGCGCATCCTCGCCTTCCTCACCAACCCGATGCCAAGAAAGGTGGTTGGCGGCAAGCTGAGTCCGAAACTCCTCATGATTGCCCGACGAGCGTACTGGATTCAGTCCCGAGTACTATGCATTCCCGACCGATTTGGGCTTATCTCATCCGGACCACCTCTCTTGCGGGCACTTCAGGCCTATAACCTCGCCTACCATATCTCTCTCGACGTGGTCAACCTCCTCCTCATTCCCATCACTCTATTGATAATTTCGAGGATGCTGGGGCCCGGACGGCGGAGATCAGCATATTACACGGCATGTTACCTGGCTGCATGTTGCTTCTGGAATCTTGTTATGGTCTACGTCCAAGAGGTCTTTTTCAACCCAATGCGCGCCCCAGACTACGACTGGGAGGCGTTGCACAGGGAACTGGGCTTGGTGCAGCCATACTATAGCCTAGGCGTCAATTCTGGCCGCTGGCGGGTGGCCGACAGGTAGACCTGCAAGGCACTGGCGGGCCTATACATGGTGCAATAAAAAAGTTAACACGACAAGGGCATCACTACCTCCACCAGACGTGATTGTGGTAGGAAGTGTCTCTAGCTAGTTCGACCAAACCAACATCTTGGACAGCGCTCCAACAACCACCAATTCAGATCAAGCAAAGTTCTGTGAACAATGAGAATCGGAATGACTCCTGTAGACGACAAGTGAGCACCTCTCGCCATCGGAGGTCAAGACACTTGACCTGGTCAACGTGGTCAATGGTTCCAAGGGTATCTATCAGATGATCAAGATGGCCGCTACTTCCGTCTAGCACGAGGATGCTACTTGGAGAAGGTTATCTTGAAATAGATCTAGTATAAAGCCCTCATTATTAAAGCACGGTTTTTTTTTTCAGCTGTCAACTTAGAGCTGTCAGACCCTTGAGTTCTTTCGGCGCTGTTATATCTGAGACGGCTCAGCCTTACCAAACAGGCGGCAACCGGTATATCTCACCCTGCAGTGCCTGCACCGAGTCGGGCACCCCAGAAAGAAATGTTTCAAGCAAAGAAACATCGTACGTGCCTTACCCACATGCCGTCACAATGGGTCCGGGGTTGTCAAGAAACCCACCATCGATGGCCAGCGCCACCAGCTACTACACAGTATATCTGTGGCGCGAGAACGACGTATCTCGCACAGCATGGCACGTGCGAGCCCGTATCGTAGTCAGTACACTAATTGCAGCACCGGATATAAGATTATTCGCAGGCCAGCGAGAGTAGGCGAGACCCCACACGCGCGTTGGATGGCGCAATGTCGAGCTGAGCAGTGTGGATGAGCCCATCGCAATTGGAGCCGCTGCGGTGCTGATCCTTCATTTGGTGCGACGTCGCGAGTGCCGTTCAGTCTATTGAATGAATAGCCCGCGCCTACCATCCTGTCCCCCGCGACTCGGATCGGTGGCGCTCCGTGGGGGGACCACGGTCATTGTGTCGAGTCAGTCCGGGCGAGCAGCAGCAGCCGCCAACAACACGTGGGGTCCTCGGCGGGAAGCAAGGCAGAGGCTGGTGCCAAGGGGTTTGTGTCCATGGATGGACGGCTGCAGAGGGTGCCGGTGGTGGTCGTTGCCGGCGAGGCTGAAGGTTCCGCCTCGTGTGGAGCTGGGAGGGCAATGCCAGCCTGGTGGTGTTGATAATGATCGCTCGCCTCCCCCAGAGCAGGGCTTGTTGCCTGTGATAACTCGTCAGCCCGCCGATCAGCAGCACAAAGTTGTGGCGGGGGTTATGCAGCTCGAGATGAAGAGCGGCAGGTCAGGTGCTCAGGTGCTGTGGCGGGAACAGGGGCACACGCTGGGTGGACGATGGTGATCTCTGGTTTGCGTCCCTCCCCCCACAACACGGGGCCCACGTCCTTTTCTCTGGCTCGGCTCCCAGGCGAAATCGACCGTTTTGTGAGAACCGTCAGGACCGTATCGCAAAGCAAACCGGCTCTGCGACATCCCGGTCTAAAATCAGTACCATGCAAAAAGCTCCGAACTGCAGGCTGCAGCAAAAGACGAGTCAGTCTGGCGATCCCGAAGATGGACCCATCCCCCCACCAAGCTTCATCGTGGTCGGCTGTCCCCGGCGGTTTGCAAGGGGGGCGGTGGGTTCGAACTGTCCCCATGGGACCCCAAAGGCGGGAAAAAAAAAGTTATTGACCCTGTGGCTGGTGGGAAAGGGTGACCGCAAGAAGAGTGCTGAACTCTCTTGCGCGGACAAAAGACAGCCTCTCATCTGAGGCCATTCTATAGGATAACATCTTAGGAAAATCCACTCGTGAGTTTTCTCGAGACGTGTATTTACTGAAGGCAGGTGCTGGCCTATGGTAAACGCGTAAACACAGATTGCCCCTCGAGTTTATCGAGTAGCCTGTAGTTCGTTCGATGCAACATCATGTTCACTGACGCGCTAAGCTTATGGATCCTCACAAGCTGTACGGAAAGGCCCACACCACCACCATAAATAACAAGGTACGGGGTCGACGAGATATTGTTTGTCACCGCTCTTTGCGCGGGAGTTGCGTAGGGAGGGGTTGGAAAAAAAAAATCTGCGCCCATGCGTGCGTGTCTGAACACGGTATCTTGATACGCGACGACTGGGTGATGAATCTCTGGGCCGATTAACCTACCACCCATGCCAACCCACAGCGCTCCACCTCTTCCATTCGCCAGTTCCCACCAGCACCCCGTAGAAGCACTACACCCTATTGGCCCATACCTAGTCCACACTTATACCGATCGAGCTTAGCGCCGCAAAACTTGCACGCCCAGCCGCACGCCCGCCCCGGCGATAGCCAACAATATAGTCCATCCTCCATCCCATTCTCCAACGAACAAGGCGTCCTCACAGACGCCCGGCTAGCTCAATCGGTAGAGCGTGAGACTCTTAGTACAGATGATGATGAGGATCATCATGAGGTCCTCACGATTCTGACAGAGATATATCTCAAGGTTGTGGGTTCGACCCCCACGTCGGGCTCAATTCCCGGCGATAATCGCCTCTCTTTTTCTCTTTTTCGCCTACTTGTTGTTCAGATGTTGTTAAGGACTGCAGAGATGATGCTCTATGGTCTGCGAAGTCTCTCTGTGGTATCTTTTTGAGGCTGCTAGGTGCCCCTCTGTCGGGATTCGCAGGACTTGAATCCCGGATTCCGGACGGGTGATAGATGGAACGTAGTGCTACTTCTCACAGTGCATGTCTCAATATCCTCGTACTCGCCTGTTCTTTTGCTCGCTCTTGCAGTTTCAACTCGGTTTCTGCTTGCGCGACATGTTGGCAATCTTAATTGCCCGATCACACATATCCGGCGCTCTCGGGGGAACGTTGGGGCTGGCCGGTAGTGACCGATTGGGCCGTTGGTTCACGGAGCCAGCAGAGGCTGTCGTCTCCCGACAGAGTTCGGTGCCAGATGTTCAGTTGATGCCCGAGTCGACAGTTTCCCTCGGGTGCTTCGGCATCATGGGTTTTGCCCACGGGTTATTACACATATGGTTGCATGGCGGCGTGGTTCTGCGCCGTCGGTTGGTCACCGCCCCCCCCCCCCCACGTGATATCCAGGTCGACGGCCCTCTTGCCCTGCGCAAGGTTGCGCTTAGTGGAAAGCATCAGCATCGGGCGTCAGCATCTTAGCACCGGCCGCCGGCGCATCTGTGTCTGTCTTGCATTATCTTGCATCGGGACCGAAGGCCAGACTAACCGTCACATACTAACTAGGCTACCGCAAGTAGAGCAGGCATGCCAATGCTAGGGCACTCGCGGTGGGAATGCTAACGCAGAGCGCTGGTGCAATTCATGCAGCTGAAATCGCAGCGGACGCCAATGTCTTAGTAGTTCGCATCATCTGGTGGGGCTAGGGCTGGCGATGATTTAACCCAAGAAGCTGGCCGGAGCGGCTGCGAGTGGGCGTCCACATCCACACCCACATCCCACGTCTTAGATGATGCTTTGCATAAGACTTGTGGCGCCCTGTGATGACATGCAGCATATCACGGGCGCCACCACGATCTGATGGCCTAACGATCTGCCTAAAACTAAGGCTGATTTGCGGGGATATCGGGTCGCCGGGCAGCGTCTTGCGCTGTGTAGTGCACCAAGCAGATGTGGCTGCTCTCGTTGTGGCCTCTCGCTTACCTGTCGGCCGACGGCTTGCGGGACAGGCAGCACGGGTGTGTCGCGATGGTATGACTCGTCGGAGGTCCCCAACTGGAAAGATTTGTTGACCTCATGGCACAAATAACGCCGATCGCTTTTTACACTCCCCTCACCATGCTTGCTTCCTGGCGGGTTGGTTAGTAAGGCACAACATTGTTGTCGCTGTCGTTGTTGTTGTTGTCGTCGATATGGCAGCTGATAATAGTAGCCGAGAGGCACTGCGCCAAAGTGGGCTTCTGATGCTTGGTACGTGGTCCAATTATAGAATTAAGCTTAGCCTGCTTCGCCCGTCCCGCGCGGGCTGCAACTGCGGTAGCTTGCAAAAGTGTACGTACCTCAGCCACCTGCGGCTGGTGCGTGTGGCAGGTGTCAGGCATGCGTTCTGGGCTGTGGCGGGCGCGAGTCGCGCTACCGACCCACGCTGGACGAGTAGCAGCTCCACAGGGATAGGAGCTTGGGCCACGCAGGACGATGACGACATGGTCGTGATTGTGGGATGGTCCCTCCTCCAGATCTTTGGGTGACTCCAAGGTTGTTATCAGCACGCCTTACTCAAGAGCCGGGATTGGCATCTGAACGATGATGTATCCCTCTGCCAGTGCAACCACATGCCGGACTAAACTGGGCAGAACTATGCATCATCGCACCATATCGTCGACGTGGCCCGACGAGGCCAACAAGGCCGAGGCTGCCAGTGCCCGAGCCCGAGCCAGAATCAGGGTCTCTATCGCTTGATGGCCATACCCACGGCCGATTCGCTTAGCCGACTGCTGCAGGATGACGGCGGCAGCGCGCAATTGCCTTTCAGGCCGTCTCCCGAGGAAAGTGCACCCACATCAGAACTCTAAGTGAGATGGTAGCAAACCTTGGTTTATCACTCAAGAAATCGAATACCCCGCCGGACGCCGTGGCGCATGTGCTTCCCCACGGCAGCAAAACGGTCGTCGACCTTGGGCGGGAGGTAGGCTTACATTATTCGCTAGAAGAGTAATCTCTCCGTCTCGCGATGCACGGGGCAAGGCTGAGCCCGCACCTCGATCTTGCTCCGCGGCCCCGGACTGGGCAATGGCAACTGCGCAGCATTTTGGCCCTGGCCGGCTGAACGTGCGCGGTGGTCACGATGGCCCCCGTCAGCCGCAGATGACTACCAGGGCTGTGATGCCTAGGCTGCGATGGCTGGCGACCGGATAAAAATCCTACACATGCAAACAACACACAGCGGCCGTCCGTCTGTAGTTCAGATGCTGTTTGAGAAGTGTTTTTGACAGGTTTGATGATGAACAACCTCGAACCGAGCCGTCGTCCTGAAGCGGAATGGGGAGGTCCGTGTGCGGTGGGAACTGTCAGAGATCCGCCCTCTCCAGCGGGAGAATGTCTCAACCCTCTGATTGGTCTGCTGCGAAGTGGCCCCTGCCGGTCACATTCCACAGGACGCACAATGCCGAGCAGGGATCAGTCGCCGCCAAAATCTGGGGCATCGAATGTTCTTCCTGGGAACGCACTCTGGTGGGGCCCCTTGAAAAGGGGCACGCCAGATGTGGTCATTGCCCGAACGTTGCCCAAGACGGAGATCTGTCGGATAGAGATGACGGTGATAATGATGGACAGGAGTAGCGGCCCCCGCCCAAGCTCTACTCAAATCTGACAGCCGACATTGAGTTTCTCGCATATCGACAGATTTCGCGCCATGGGATTTAGCGGGTGACGACCATGGATGATTTCGGGATGGTTCGGGGCAGTGATTTGTGGGTGGAGCGAGGGCATTCAGACGCGGGCGGAATAGGAAAACGATATGAATGGCCCGGCCTGCCAGTCTGCCAGTCTGCCAGTACTCGTTGCGGTGAGGGAGGCATCCCACCATCCCACCATCCCACACCCTCCGCAGGCTGCAGGCCGTGATGGTCCTGCCTGTGAATAGGGGAGAGGGCGCCAATGTGCATTCTGACTGGCTCATGCACGAAATGCTTCAGCCTGTATTGCAACCACTTGGAGGTGCCACCAGCTCTGAGCGGCCAGTACTAGTCCTGGGCACACTACCCCTGCACCCGCGGTTCGGAGGGAGGTTGACCTGGAACCCACAGGCACTCGCTTGCACTCAGATGCACCCACCTGATCGTATAAGCTGATGTTGAAGCCAGCACTGGAGGCCGAATTTGCGAGATCAAGAGGCTGAGCAGGGCCGATGCGGTGGTAAGATAAGATCAGCTTTGAAGAGCTCACCTCGGGCGGCCGTTCCGCTGTGCAATAGCAGGGCGGCAACTGCGGCAAGCCGTGTAAATAACATGGGTTTTTGGCCAGCGGCTCCAGGGAGCATGGTAATCTGCATCTGTGTGAGCACTGATCACCAGCTCATTTCGATTTGGCGTGGCGCCGCTGTTTTTTTTTTTTTTTTGGGCTAACTCGGTTCTTTGCCGAAACCTCCAGTGAGATTCAATATCTTGATGACCCAGAGTCCGAGGGCGGCATCATGAAGATTTTGTCAGACATTCGCAGTCCCGTATCCTTCACCTACAGGCCGTGGAATCCTGCTTCCGCCAATGTCCTCACAGCAGAGCATTGGCAGGAGCACGCACGCAACCCTGCAGGTCTAGGCTCGGTGACAGGGGCGCGCGCCGTTGAGTGTGTTCCGTTTTCTACCAGACAGAGTGCGGCTGGCTGACGCCTTTGCTGCATGCGCTGCGTAACTGGCGCCGTTGGATGGTCTTCCGAACCCCAGATTCGGCGTGGTCGGCCGAGTTTTCTTTTCGCATGCATGCAAGCCACCAAGCACTGCCAGTCGCACATCTGCCCATCTAAGATATGGAGGAGGGGCCAAGCGAGCTGCGACGAACCTGTCCAATTTCGCTCGCGCAGAGAGGACCCACAGTAGATGGCTCTTTTCGGAATGCTCAATGTCCGTCGCCATAGTCCAACAGTTGATGCACTTCTGGAAAAAACTTGCCGGGCAGAGGTGGCGAACAAGAAATCATGTTCTGACAGGTTGAACAAGCCCTGGAGAGCTGGTCGGCCACTGAACCTGTTGGCCCGTGTCTGGTGGCAGCCATCCATCCAGCCAGCCAGTCACCGGTAGCGAAGGCGCGAGGGCGATGGGGGCGAACTAGCTGGGCAGCCTGGCAGCGCAGTCAAGCCAATCAAGAAGCCATACGCATCCCCCAAGGTCTCCGGGATGCTTGCGGACCCTGCCAATCGATCAAGAGATGGGAGGAAGAACCACAGCTACCAGACATCCAGGCAGCCCAGGCCAGCCAGGCACGCCAGGCAAGCCATTAGTAGCACACATCCATCTCACGTCTCCTGTGCCACCCTGGCCGGATCAGCGGCTGGGGGTCAATCATGGGTGACAGCCTGGGGAGAAAACGGTGGATCGCTGGGAGGAAACGCTCCAGGGCTGGCGGTCCCGATAAGAGACCGGATGACGAAAGGCCAGCCACCCACACTGCGAGACCTGACTGGCCTTGGCATCCATGGATGTTCGCAATGCACCGGATCTCTTCGCTTCGACGGCGCGGACGGGGCAGCCGGGGCAGGCCAGGGCGGGAAACAAGAGATGTTACGGACGGGTGACAAGGCTCAAGCCGCAGGCAGGGCTGATGATGCTATGACGACGACGGTGAGGCCGCTCTTGTTTCTCTATTTGTTTCGCGAGCGCCATGTGCTCGCCAACAAAACGCCAAAACGTGGGTTGACCGGGCCTGACCTGGCTCGAGTTGGGTTGACTTGATAACAGTCAATCAATCAGTCCGGTCTGTCGATGGCGACGGGCTCTTGGCCAGCCTGACCAGATAGAGCACAAAAACTGCTAAGCACCACTCGGAGGATTCAAAGTG